TCTATTTTAAAAAAAGGTTAATATAAATTTATGATATCTCTAACTGAAATCCTTCTATTTCAAATAATATGAAAATTGTTATTGCTTTATGCAACTGCGGCTTATATATGTCAAAATAAGAAAAGAATTTCAAAAGAAAAGTTCGTCAATGATTGCTATAAAATATTTAATTTTCTAATAATAACCCTCATTCGCTCACTCGCAATAATAAAGCACATTAATTTTTGTTAAAAAAAAAATAAAAAAAAAAAAAAAAAAACAAGAACAAAAAAAAACAAAGAGAAAGCAGAGAAACCACACTCAAAATAGTCGTGATCTCTGATATTTACCTTTTCGTTGTGCTGATTGCTTTGGGAGTCAGTGAGGCCACGAATTTGAAGAGACTCTGCAGTGCGCAAAAATGTTGGAAGCTCCGCTTGTGAAATGTTAACTTCTCCAGCATACATAAACTCCAAGAGAGACTGTAGATGTTCGAATTCGACGTCTCTCATGAAAATTATCGGATGCTTACAAGGATTTGTCTGAAATTAAATAAGATACTCAGATCAATTGTTTGATAAGGTCACACGTACAATGAAAAATTTTTATCTGTAATGAAATAAAATATTGTGAAATTTTCTGTAATTCTAATTTTGGTTCAAGATATCAAGTGTCCCTGAGACATAAATTAGATACTTGTGCAAAGATAAGAGTTACATAACTCTATGGCTATGGTGGCCCTCACTACAAGATAAAATTTTCCAAGACATTACTCAAAGTAATTGATGCAATATCTAGTATGTGCCAAGATTACCTAGCTCAGCCATAAATAAATATAATTTCACAGCAAATAGCAATGTATAAAGCAACTCTGCTTCCTCTAAATCCCAGCATAGCAACACTAATCAATTGTACAAATATCTATATCTATTTATCTTGGCCTGAAATCGAAAAAGGAATTCCAACATTTCAAGTTTACTTTGAGGCAGCATTCTTAGTAATAGTTGCAAGGACATTGGCAAGCCTATATACGGCACACAAAACAAAGTCTCCCAGCGTTTCATAACAATGCTTGGTCATTCTCTCTATGTTCTATCTCATTGGCAATAATAGTAATAATAACAATAATAATAATAAAAAATTTAAAAAAAAAAAGAAGAAGAAAAAAAGAAACAAAAACATTTGATACGAAAGTGTATAGGCTGCAGCAAAAGTAACCATGGAATGACATAAGCAAGGACCAAAACGGATTTACATTTACACCTATATATATATATATATATATATATATATATATATATAAGCCACAAATGAGAAACAGAAGCCACACGAGTGAAGAGTGAAGGAAAAAAATCCGAGAGCGAGACCAAGCTAGTTAGGTTTAAAAACGAGCGCGAGAGTAAGAAAGAGACACATAAAGAAACGAACTGACATAGTAGAAGGATCATGGATGCTAAATGTTTGGGGTGGGGAACGTTGATGAGTGATGAGGGGAGGAGGACAGGGTAGGTAAAATACATAATGTAATCTACACGTCAATTATAGAAAATATTACTTTCTTAATTATAAAATATTCTAGCAACTTAAATGAACTTTATACCAGTTAAAGACCAGTTCGATAAAAATTCTTTTTCATTTTATTTTATTGACTCATAGTGCTCAAAGCCGTAGTACTTAAAGTACTTTATACCAGATTCTTGTGAACAAAAAACATTTAAATAACAATAAATGCATTACATTATGCTTATCATATTATTTACGATGTTTCTTGTTGTCAATAAAAACTTAAAATACATTCGTCTCTTTAAATTCAATATTTACTACACTTATTTACATTTTCGCGAAGGTGATTTACATGTAATTTTAATAAAAACCTTACAACTCTTTAATGCAGAATTGAAATACCTTAAAGTCTTAATAAATGAACATCGGCCAATTAAATATTAACTTTAATTCTCGAATCAAATATCGTCTGTAAAAAAAAATGTCAAATGAACAACAACAAGAAAATTGCAAAAAATGAAAAATGGAAGTTCGTAGTCTATAATACTTCACGTAGTTTTCACAAAAAGATGAAAAAAAAAAAAAAAAAAGAGTTGTTGAATAAGCGATTTACCTATGCCTGCCTGGTTTCAGTAAATATCAAAATGAAAAGAGACATACATGTAGACAGACGAAACTGAAGGGGAAACAAGGCGTGGGAGTACGAGGTGATGGCAGAGTGGAACGACGAGGGGGGTGTTGGAGTTGGAGCGGGAGGAGGAGGAGGAGGAGGAGGAGGAGGAAGAGGAGGAGGGG